TTTTGGATATGCAAAGCTCTTCACATGATAAGAGTGCCACGTATGATTTCCTGTTTATCTAGTATGAGAAATGTCCCTGCTGTCTGGAAGAACTACAGACACGTTTCTCAGAGATTATGGAAATGCTAATTAGGTAGCTAAAAGGACAATACCTCAGGGGTTGGGACAACGAATTCAAGCATTCTTTATACATACACATTAATTCCTCTTTAATGGGTATATTTATTTTGTGAAGTTAAGTTGCACACCATGAAGTTTCCTCACATGTTAAATGAAGGAGGCTAGTCTAGATTACCTCAAAATGTCCCTTTTAGAGCTAAAACTTCAAATCCCATGATTCAAAGCTGGTGGCTGGAAACACAAATGGAATGCCATTTTCAAACCCTACTCATGGTGCACAAATGCCTTGCCCCCTACTCCACTTGGAACTGCACCAAAGCTGGTAAAAAAAAAAAATTCCAACTGGCAAATATGAATACCTGCAGAGAATTCATCTTCAAAAGTAGCAATAATGAGACAGGAAGTATACCACCTTTTCCAATGGTCCACATTTCTGGCAATAACCAACAATGACCTTCTTAGACAGTAATCTTAACACTTGAAGTACTAGAAATCTTTTTCTTTGCATTTTCTACTTTTATCTCCTGAGAGAGAACCAGATCCTAAGCAGTAAGCCTTAAATCCTATTATAAAATACCAGTTTCTTCACAAGAGATCAGCTTGAGTACAGATTCAAGGGAAAAATCAAGTTTGATTTTCTTTCAGGAAAGCTGTAATGAGGACACCTATTTAAACAAGAGGCTGGAGAAAGACTGATGAAAAACCATGGAAAGTTAAAGCTCCTTTTATTCCAACCACACTTCAAGAAAGATTCCACATGGCTTAAAGCTGGAAATCAGTTCTTCAAAAGCAACTGAGAATGGAGAAATTGAACAAGATTTTTGTCACTATTCTGAAATTTCTTTTAAAAAATAAACCAGTTACTAATGAAATATTCACAATTTGAACATTGTTTTCTCTTAAGGCATGGAAATTCATGTTGTGTTCACTAATACAGGAACATATATAACCCCATCATGATTCTGGAGAATGGAAGATGGACAATGTGGCTACTTGGACACAGGCCACGGAGAGTCAATGTGATCTTTTATTGCAAGCTCTTAGTCAAGATGATTAAGGCCATCTTGCTGTAGTTCAGGCTGACAAATAAATGTAAACTGTCTAAATGTATTTTAATAAGTGTGTTTAAAGATTTTTTTCTCCCACAAAACTAATCCTTAATTTGTTTTGAAAAGCAATACATTTTCTTGTCAGCTCAGAAGCAGGCCAGGGAATGTGGTGACCAGAAAGCTGAAATCCCAATCCATTTACTAGTTGTGACCCTAGGTAAGTCATTTAATCTCTCTCAGTCTCACCTTTATCATCTGTAAAACGGAGATAATAATGCCACCTGCCTCACGGGGGTCAACTGGGATAATCCATGTACAACACCACATGAACCTTAAAAGCACTCTATATCTGTTGTTAGTGTGTCTGAACAAACGAACTAGGGCAAAGGGAAAAAGGTAACGATCCCAAAGACTAAGATGTTACAATGGCCCATTTTTGATGGCCAGGCTTGTGGTTCATTCTCCAGGGCCTGCTGCTGCTTTTCTAACTTCCAATATGACTGTTATACTTTTTACTCATACAAATTCCCTTGGAGTTGAAAAAGGAAAATTCTATATAATCAGTGTTTCTGATGAAACAAATGTCTGGTTGAGGTTAGTGAATGAACTGAGGAAAAGGATTCTGATATATTCACTCAAAGTATTCTTGTTCCCATTATCATGAATAACTTCAGTTACCTATGATCTATTTCTATACTATTTTCTAACAGATGGTGGTTTATGCCTTCATAAAGTCTATACTCTCCTTAGTATTATTATTTTTTGTTTGTTTTGCTTTGTTGTTGTTTTTTTTTTTGCTTTTTGGTGAGGCAATCGGGGTTAAGTGACTTGCCCAGGGTCACAAAGCTAGTAAGTGACATCTGTCTGAGACTGGATTTGAACTCATGTACTCCTGACTCCAAGGCCAGAGCTCTATCCACTGCGCCACCTAGCTGCCCCTCCTTAGTATTATTTTTAAAAACATGGAAATCTTTTACTGGTTTTCACAGTAGTCATGTGACAGTTCATGCTTTCTTATATTTCAATTTTTAGTGAATCATTTATGGATACAGCCTGTGCACATACCTTGAAAAGATAAAAGTGACAAGGTTTTTATTCTTAAATTTTATATATTGTATTAGGGTCCCAATTTAATCTTAAAATGGTCCATTTTTTTGGTATTAGGACATTTTAAACAAGTCTAGTATAGGATCTGTGTTTATGTTAAATCAAAGGTATCTTTACCACATAAGTCAAATACTCAAACTAATGCTTAATTGTGGTTCTTAATATTTCCATACTGTTTTACTTTAGTCTTGTGTAAATTCACAACAAAACCTTGTTTTCTGTTGATAAGCTCTAGTTCACTAAGACATTTAGCATGTCCAGTAAGGAACCGAGAAACTGTACCAGAACATATCACCTTACATAGCAAGATTAAGTATTTTTATCCAAAGTAAACCATGATTTAACCCTAGGTTAATTATCTGTAATATGTGCTCCAGAGTGTGTCACTGTGCTCTGATTTTCACAGTACCAGCCCTAACTCAGATTTAATGACCTGTTTACTCCAAGAGGAACTGTTTAAGAGGCTCCTGTTGCAGCCCTTTCTGGCATTCTGTTAAAAAGATTTGTAAAGGTTCTTCAGTGGTTCCTGTAGTTTTTACTATGGGCATGGAGCATGATATCTAGAATACATGACAAATGAATTGATGGTGTTCTGTAAGGAATCAGGCTTTTTCTTTTTAACTACAAAATTCATCTTGATGGAACTGTCTATAGTGTACTTCTACACTATGAAAACCAGCATATAGCTTATGGAATTATACATATCTGTTCTGAAGTTTCATTAAAGGATGATCTTTTGGTATGCTGCATTGTGAAGAGTAAAAAAATATAACAGATCACCTCTTGTTACATGCATTTATTTTATATAGAAAGCTGCATTCATTATATATATATCTTAGAGTATTTAACACCATGTACATGGTAAATAATTTTATGTTGATTCTTGACAAAATCCTGGTCCATTCCTCAACTATTTTTCCTGATTATTATCGCCATGAAACCAAAAAGGAACAACCCTATCTGAATGGGGTTTTGTAGAATCGAGTGGCAAAGTATTTTGAGTCTTTTATTCTAAGTTTGAGGTTTAAAAAAAAGCTACCATAATAGTTAATAATATGGGCTTTGAAACTTAAAAAAAAAGGGAATTAACAGCAGGAGCTTGTTTCTAGACAACAGTAAAGATGTTTCAAAGTATCATTTTAGTTTTTAAATTATAGAATATTGGGTTTCAAGGAATAACGTGGCTTAAAGTATGCCAAAGATGCTTATGATTACTTAGGAGATGATTATTAGATATTAAATCTTCCTTATATTAAAGCAAATTACGTTTACTGTCTAGTATTTCAGAATTATCTTCAATATTTATGTACATTAGGCCAGTAACACTTATTCTTCTGCCACAATGATGAGAGGGGAAAAAAAAACTGAAAGAAACTTCTCTATACAGTGTGATTAGCCAAAATAGAGAGAAAAAGAGAAAGAAAAAAAAGAAAAAGATCTAATGCCAATCTATGGAGTCTGTCAACAGCAGACTGACTTGCTTTTTCTCTAAGTATTGCCCAATATCCTACAAGTAACTTGTTTTAAAGGTTAGAGCACAAAGTGCAGCACCATACATGACTGCTGATCTCAGCACAGACAGACGAATCCATTTTAGCTTCATTTTTTTCTTTAAAAAAATTAGCTCCTCATGTGAACTATTTCCCTATGGCATGATCTGCTTCAATTAAACATATTTTCAAAGCTAAAAATGTTCTGTTAGTTTGATACGCAGAGTATGTATTAAAATTTTACACTATCCTTAATTTGGTGAAACATACATTGCAAAGTTAATTCAAGTCAAACTCAATCAGCCCTACTTAGGAAGATATTTTAGGAGTTACTCAAAGTTACTCCCCGTTTCAAAATATCAGTACAGGAACAAACCCCATCTTCTTTGAGATTGTGTTATTTCTCCCACCCCCACCTTCCAAATTTAGGTTAAATAACCTCCAGACAGAATGACAAATTAAGAAAAGGTAGCACATTCCTCTTCCAACTTAGAGACCAAAGGAAATCAATTTTCAACCTTTCTCTTTGACTCTTAATTTTTTTAAAGATATTATATCAAGCCAATTTGAGATTTTAACTTGTTTCTTTTATACCCTATACTATGTTGATTTAAAAAAAAAAAAGACTAGAAGTTGTAAAATTTACATAAGACAGTGTTTAAAAAGCATTATTCCTTCTGAAGCTCTCATAGCAACTTTTCTGAACATCTCAACAGTTTTTACATTTAAACTGGTAAATTCCCAGGACCCCCATGGAATACTGTATTTTTCTTAATCTTTGAGCTCTTCAGTGCATTCAGTATACTATGCCCTACTAAAAAACCAACAACAATAATGGAGGGGAAAAGCCTACTTAGCTGCCCTGGTTCCTAGTAAAGAACAGGGATGAAATGAAGTTATAGCAAAGAGAGAGTTAAGATTTGGGGTGGTCTTTTTTTTCTTCCTGCTAAAAATTCTCAAGATTAGCATAATGCCTGTCCACAAAATAGCCAGTTCTCTGAAAACTAAATAACTTGGTTTACTTACCTATAAATTTGTCTTTGGAGAGTAAAAAAGGAGGTGCTTTAGCAGCTGAGAATTAGTAAGTCTGTTTTCTAGTACTTCTCAGATCTACAGTGTACCCCACACTTCTCAAATCAATAAAGCCTATTTTATATAAAAGGCTTTGGAAAAAAGTATTAGCAACTGTTAACTTACTGTCCATTGTAAAATATTAACAGCTTGGTGCTTATTATATCATTTATCAACAAATACTGTATTAAACCATCAATTAATTTTGAAATTAAATAATCATACAAAATATTTTAAAACGTTCATAAAGAATTGAGGAGAAAAGGGGAGAGAGAACACAAAATGATCATCTTTTCCCTACCCCTCCACCCCAAAACAAGTATTCTTTTCTCATAAATTCAAGTTTAGCATTTCAGTGGTTGAAGTCTTCTCTAGTTCCAGTGCATATGGATTATATTCTTCAAGATTTTTCTTCCAGATTTTAACTAGAAGTAAAAGAAAACATTACAATTTAACATATGGTTTCAAAATGTTATGAAAATGCCACATTCAAACCATAAATATCTTAGCTATATTGAGCTTATTGAATTTCTTAAGGCTCCAGAAAATAAGGGCTGCCTATTTTAGGACACTAACTTGACTTACTGGATAACATCTTTTTTATTTTGCTTAAATGGTTTGTTTAATCTTTAACAAAGGTATACCTTTTTTTAATAATTCAAATTTGGCCATGTTTTAACCCACGCATAGAAAACTGATAAAGGATCCAGTTTAAGCTACAAGAACATTTACAGAGAAAGGAAAACTGAAGCTACATAGTCTGACTACTCAACAAAATGTGAGATTTTAAGTTTATAATCTTAACTGGAAAAGTAATGAGAAATCTGGATCAGAGTACACAGATTCATTAAGGATATGTAGATATGGCTGTTTTCTGCACTGTAACTTGTTATATACAGGACCTCATCGAGAACTTAGGGAGCTTACCCCGACTTAGTTTAATAAAGTCTGATGAGATTACATTCATACATTCAACAAAATGGAAAAAGGTAGGTAGACCAGGAAGCAAAAGACCTTATTTTAGATCTACTCCTACCTAGCTGCCCTTCATGAAATCAAGTCATAATGCCTGGTAAAACCACACTTTGGGATACCTGAAAGAACTATCAGATGTTATTGCTAAGCCAATGTCAGTGACCTTTGAAAGACTGTGGAGAATGAAGAGGTACTACACGAGTAAGGAAAGTATCTTGATTTTCAAAAAGGGGAAGAAAATGGAAAGCGGCAAACTGGCAGATCACAAAAATCTGAAAGGGATAATTAATATTTCAGAAGACAGCAAAAACCTTAAAAAAAAACTCAACAAGCTAGAACCATGAACCAATTAGAGCTAATAAAATTGATCTAAAGACTGTAAACAGTAGAGATAAATGTCAAGCTGTAAAAGACTGCTACTGTGATCAAGATCTAGGGGGCCATAGAGGATCGCAAGCTCAATATAAGAAAAAAACATGAAGTAGTAGCCAAAAATGCTAATGTAATTTTGTTTTATTTTAGGATAGGAACAATGTGGAAAAAACAAGTGATGGTCTCAGTCAAAGTCATACATATGTAATACAGTATTCAATTCTATAATTGATATAATAATTCTATGAAGCTCCATTACAGGAATGACACTGACAACAGACAGTGCAAACAAGAGAGAGAATCTATAAATCATCTGAGGATTATTTTAAGGAGTAAGGACATTTAGCCTAGAGATGCAACTTAGGGTAAATGTGACAGCTAACTTCATAAAGGGCTGTCACATGGAAAAACCATTAGATTTGTTCTAATCTAGCCCCAGAAGAAAGAATTCAGAGCAATGGTAACTGAATGCTGTAGAAAAGCAGAGTGAGATGTGATATAAAGAAAAAATTCCCTAACAATCAGAGCTATCCAAAAATAGACTGGAACCCTTTAGGAAGGAGAGGGGAGTCCCTCACTGGAGTCTTCAAGCAAAAGTGGGATGATCAGGTATGCCAGGGAGGGAATTTTGTTCAGGTACCAGTTACACTAAATAGCCTATCAAATTTCTTCTAGCTCTAAGACTGCATAGTAACTACTTGCTCTTAAGAAAGTAAGAATGTTTGGGGTTTCAGTTCCTTCGTTAGTAAAGTAAAGGAAGGTATCAATAATGTAGAGGAAAACAGCATCAGAATTTGGTCATTGCAGTGACCTCATGTGACCAGAGGACTGATGGTGAAGCCTACCTCTAGGCAGACAGATAGTGCTACACAATGAAGAATATGTTTCCAGACATGGCCAATGAGTTGATCTGTTTTACCAGACTGTACTTATTTGTTACATGGGAAGGTTATATTGGAGATGAGTGTGGAAAGTCACTGGGAAGTTATAATTTTACAAGATCATCAGTAAATCTTTTTTAAAAGACTATAATACAACAAAGTTAATAGACTAGGTGACCTTTAGGATTCCTTTTAGCTTTGATCTTCCATTAACTTCAATAAACACTATGGCCTCAAATCATATTGTAATGATTCCTGTTATGCTGATCTTAGGAACACTGGTTAAAGCAGAAGAAACACTATCATTATCAAACAATAGTAAGAATCCCAAACAAGTCACTGTGTGCTACTTACTGTAATTTGGTTCTTCCTCTTTTGTTGTGTCAGTTGTTTTACTAAGTTCTGAAGAGCAACTCTGGCCCTGTGGAGTAAGCGATGGGGGTAGAGGATTCTCTGTCTCTACTGCTTCAGCTCCTTCTTTTAAAGTGGCTAACATAACCTTATATGCCTGTCTGGCTTCCATCGTAAGCTCTATCATCTTGTGAAATTGATCCTGGGGCAGAAGAAAAAGCAAATTCTTGATTCCTAAACTGTAAGCTAGTCTAATTACTTTTTTCTTAAAATTTTAGAAGAACATCAGTACTAGAACAAAACAGAACATAAAATAACAATTACATATTGTTATAAATAACAAAAGAAACCATTAACTTAATAAATTATTTGTTGAAAATGGGTGGAGTGGCAGTGATAAGGATAAAGGGGTCAACAGTCCAGGAGCAGTTCAAATGCAACCTGTACAATGAAACTTAATGTCCTATACCACTTATTTCCCATCATTCCTGAACTGCTACATTCTACTCTACTCTTGAATCCCTTTGCCTCCTTGTTCTAACCTATTATATTTTGCTGAAAAACACTTTCTGGACTGCTCCCATCATCCAGCTCCTTCACTCCTATTCACATGTAGCTTACCAGAGATGGAAGAACTCAAGAAACACTGTTGATTTATATTACCTAATCACAACTGGGTCATCCCATCACAATCACTGTAGCAAAGTAATCCTTTAATAATCAGTTTGCTATCTCATTCTCCACAATGGCTGTTTTAGATCTCTCCTCAATCCTCCCACAACATCCTCTTCAAGAAGGAATTGGCCTCATGTGTCACTGAAAAAACTGAGGCCACTGGCTCTTCCTCCTTATCTCATGTCACTCACGGACCTTCCCTCACTTTCCCTTCATTCCTGTCTTGGACGAAGAGGTGGCCCTTCTCTTGACCAAGGCAAATTCTTGATTTGCCTTGATTGATCCCATCCCTCTCTTTCCTACAACAAGCCCCGCCCCCTACTATGATACCATCACCTTCAAAACACTCCATCTTATGGTTCCTCTCCTGCTACCTACAAACATGTTTATGTTTCTCTCCAATCCTTACAAAACACTTATGTGACCCAACCACTAGTTACCATGCTATATCTCTCCCTACATTTTTGGTGAAACTGCTTGAGAGAAAGTCATCAACCTGCTGCAGTCTGGCTTCTCACCTCATCATTCAATGGAAACTGTTCTCTCAAATGAGCAATGATCTTAGATGACTAACTCTAATGAACTTTTCTGAATCCTCATCCTTGACTTCTCTGAGGCTTATGATGTTGATTACTTTAGCCTCCTCTTTAGGTTTTCACTACTATTCTCCCATGGTCTTCCTCCTATAGGTCTGACCATTCCTTCTCAGTCTCTTTTGATGGATATTCATATCAGGTCCACTAACTGAGGATGTTTCCCAACACCCTGTCCTGGGCCTTCTTATCTATACTATCTCATTTGGTAATCTCATCAGTTCTCAAGGTTTTCAATTATCATTTCTACATAGATAATGCCCATATTTATATATCTAGCCCTAGTCTCCTTTCCTTAAGCACCTGAATTCAAATTCATCATGTCCAAAACAGAATTTGTTATCATTCCCTCCAAACCATCCTTTCTTCTGAACTTACCTATTAAGGGTACCACCATCTTCCAGTTACCCAGTTTTGAAATTCTGGTGTCATCCTCAACACCTCAACCACCCTCATAATACGTATTTAATCAAATGCCAAATCTTGTTGTTGTGACCTGAATAGCTCTCACATATGACCGCTCCCTTCTCTCTACATACATAGATACCACTTTAGTTCAGGCTCTCTTCATTTCTCACTGGGACTACTGAAATGGCTTTTGACTCAGGTCTCTTGCTACTGCAGTCCATTCTCCACTCTGCTGCCAAAGTGATTTTCCTAAGCGTTATTCTAACCTTGCCATCTCCCTACTTATTTAGCTCCAGTGACAATCTGTATTTGATCCTAAAGGGAGGTATTTAACTTCTTCACAATTTGGCCCTTTTCTGCCTTTCCAGCTTTCTTACACTTTACTCCTTTCAACACACCACACAATGCAGCTACACTGGACTACCAGACTACTTGCCCCTGCCCCTGCCAGCTCTGTGCCCCCTCTCTACCATATCTGAATGCTCTTCTTACTTCTGCCTCTTACTTTGTCAACCTTTAAGATTTTGTGCATTCTTCAGACCTTTACATGTCCCCCCAGTTGCTACTGTCTCCTCCTCTTGAGATTACCTACTCTAAAGATATTAGGTATGTACCTGGTTATTTATGTGTTGTTTACTTTATTAAAATATGAGTTCTAAGAGGGCAGGCACTGTTTTTGCCTTTCTTTGTAACCCCAGAGCTTAGCATGTTACCTAGTACTTTATAAATGTTTGTTGACTGACCACCTGGGGCTCCAATTAATATCAATAAGAGTTCATGTGACTAACCCTTTGACCTCATACTTCACTGAAAAAACTGAGGCCACTGGGTACAAGCTCTCTTCTCTCTTCCTCCTTATCTCATGCCACTTAGGCAGCTTTCCCCACTCTCCCCTCCTTCACTTCTGTCTCAGATGAAGAAGAGGCCCTTCTCTTCACCAAAGCAAACTTTAGTCACTAGTCACAGATACAGTAAAAACCTAATTTAAAATGCACAATTAGAGTTCAAAGGAATCTCACTGGTCAGTTCCAACCTGTACCTGAATAAGCATTTCCTTTACAACAAAACTGTTAAATGGTCATCTCTAGCTTTTGCTTGGAGACATCTAGTGAAGAGCTGCTAATGAGCTCCTTAGGTAGCCCCTTCTAATTTTGGATGCTCTAATTTATACATATTTATGGCAACTTCACTTTCTTCACATCTCTCATAAATGCCCCCTTTCCTGACACTGCCACTACCCTGGTCCTGTCCCTCTTCACTTTATACCTTGCATTATCACTTAGTAAATGCTGGCTGACTTGTTGAATTGGCTATCCTGACCCCTCTTAGCTTTAAGTCATTTGCAAAGTTGCTAAGTGAATCACTTATCCAAGTCATTGTTAAAAATGTTAAATAATAATGAGGCAAGGACACATCCTTGGAAAATTCAACTAGAGATCTATTTAAAATATCACCCTCTTAGTAAACTAAAGAAAAAATTCATGCTACACATCCCAAACTTCATTTACTAAATTGTCAATGAAATTTTTTTACAAGTATTTTCCACCAAAACAATAAGGCTTATCTTTTCTCAAAGATAAAAGGATATTAAAGTTCTTTTGTTTAAAAGAGTAGTAGGAAGAAGAGGAGTAGCAGCTGCAGCTAACAGATTTATAGAACATTCAGGTTTGCAAAGCACTACCTATGTAAGTACCTCAAGTGATAGTACATAATGCAATTAATAACTAACTTAAAGAGACTAGAAGGGAGATGATGCCAATCTTGGTTTGCCCACCAGCCTACTAGGTAAGTTTGGACTCTGAACACCTTCACTCCCCTTCACTGCTGCCCCAAGTTTCTCTATTATCATTTCTAAATGATAATAACACTTGCTCCCTACCTCCCTTTTGGAGATACTGAAAACAAATGAGAAGAAATCTGAAAAAAAAATGCTGAGTGTTTTATAAATCAAATGTGTTAATATTTAATTTCACAGAGACTAGAATCTTTGCAAAAGTTCTAAACTTGGGGTCCATGAATTAATTTCAGGAGGTCCATTTCCAGTAACCTCTAACTAAATTTTCAACATTTTCAACAATTATTTAAAACCATTATTCTGAGAAGGGAACCACAGGCTTCACCAAACAGGCTCATGTCACTAAAAGCGTTAAGAACTCTTCTCTAAAGCAAGTATAAACTGTGTAAAGAGATGGATGGTCAGTGTAAAGACAAAGAAAAAAACCAAGAGTGCACATTCAGCTCACCTGCGCACCGTCATAGCTGAAAATTCCTACCACACTGACTGGTACTACTTTGTTTACACTCCGCCCCAGAGCTTTTCGGTTGAGAGCAAACACAAATGGGACATTCTGTTCACAGGCATAATCGATAATGGTATGCAATGTCTCATCCAACCCACCTAGAACAAAGAACATAAAAGTAGTAGAAAGGTATTAAAATGAAATGTTAGATTTAGTAACAAAAGACATTATTCAGCCTATCAATTTTTGTATTAAGTGGAAATTAAACGAAAAGAGCAATCATCTGCAAATTTACATCATCTAAAAAAGTGAAAGCCACCTTTCACAGCAAACATATTATGCCAATTGAACTAATATCCTTTAAAAACTTATGGCTTAACGTTATTCTTTTCTATTAGGAGAAAGGAGAAGTATGCTTTATAAACTATTCATTTTAAGACAGTCGAAAAACAAACCCCAAGTCTTCCAAGTCCCAGATAGTAGAGCTATAAAAAGCTGGAACTTTACAGCTCTAGTCAATGTCTATAACCAGTCAGTTAACTGGCATTTATTAAGTGCCTACTATGTGTCAAGCACTATGCCAAGCGATGGAGAAAAAAAGAAAAAAAAATTCCCTGCTCTTAAGGAGCTCACAGTCTAAAGGAGCAGATATCATGAAAACAACTATATGTAAACAAGATACACATAAGATAAATGGGGGGGGGGGCACGCCACGCAGAGCACTCAACTCTTCCCAAAGCTTTCCTTTATACGGGGCATTTGGGGCTTACAGCTCAGTTCATTTTCTTTCTGCAACTCTACTTAGTTACAACTCCACGGAACAAGATGCTCCCTCCTCCTACCTTTCCTAGTACCCTCCCCATTTTCGAGCTTCTTTTTGCGTGTCATCTTCTCTTGTTAGATTGTAAGCTCCTCGAGGGCAGAGACTGTCTTTCTTGTTCTTATTTGTATCCCCAGTGCTTGGCATAGTGCCCTGGCATATAGTAGGTGCTTAATAAATGTTTACTGAATTGAGGACAATCTCAAAGAGAACGCATTAAGGAAGGCTGAGAAAGGTTTCTTGCAGAAGGCAGGACTTTAGCTGAGACTTGAAGGAAGCCAGGGAAGCTAGGAGGTAGATATGAGAAGGATGATAATTCCAGGCATGGGGGACAGTCAATGAAAAGGCAAGGAGTTAGGAGATGGAGTGTCATTTGCAGGAAGAGTAAGGAGGCCAGTGTTAATAAATTGCAGGATATGTGGAGGAAAGTAAGGTATAAGAAGAAAACCAGGTAGGAAGAGGCCAGGTTATGAAGGGATTTAAAAGCAAAATACAGGATTTTACATTTGATCTTGGAGGTAACAGAGGGCCAGTGGAGGTGATTTAATGATGACAGAATATGCTTGTGGGTAGGTGTACTGTGGTCAGATCTGTGTTTTTGGAAGATTAAACTGACAACTGCGTGGAGGATAAACTGGAGTAGAGACAAACTTGAGACAAGGAAACTAAGCAGAAGGTCACTGTCATAGTCCAGGAATGAGGTGACGATGGTGAGCCATCTAAGTTTACATATAAGGAAAGAGAGTTCGTGATTTTGAGAGTCTATAATGGTCTAATCTTTTTTGATGATGAAACTCAGTAAAAACAAAATTTGTATGCTCTCCTCAAAATGTATACATTTCACTTATAAATTACTATACTAATAATTATATACATTATAGAAGTACACAATCTAAAAGGATGATGCAAAGATGAAATAATATTTAAGCCTCAAGTGAACTGGGAGCCAAGGGAGTTTACTGAATAGGGGAGTGACATAGTCAGACTTGTTATTTAGGAAAATCAATTGGAGAGCTGTGTGAAGGATAGGCCTGGAGAGGGAAGAGACTGATGCAGGAATACAAATTAGGAGACCATCAAAATAACCTAAGCAAGAAGTGATGAAGGTCTGAACCAGGGTGGTAGTTGAAAAAGTATTATAGTTTAAGTGTGGTGGGGGTCTACTAATGTACTCTGCCATCAGGGTAAAAAAAAAAGCTTTATTCTACACTGTGGTTTAATTCAAGAACTATTTTAAACACTAAAGCCATCTTGAACAAATAAATGCAGGTCTTCAGCATGGCTTCAGGTTTGAATACTGATTGTGCTTAATAATGACAACAATAACAAAATACTAAAATTTTGGGGTTGTATCCAAAGCATTCCTTAGGTTAATATTTGTATCTTCAAATAGTTTCATCAATAAAAAAGAGAAGGAACAGATCAACAAACTGGGCATGCAATAAAAAATGAGAACAAATTTTAAAACTGCAATTATTTTTCAAAATAGAAATTTTGAAAATCAAAGAAGAGATTAACACAAAATTTTAAAAAAATTTTTAAAAAAGAAAAAGGAAAAGCAAATAACTATTAAAAATAAAAAGGTGAATTCACAACAAAAAAAAACAGTAAAAAAAGCAATTTACCCAATTATATGTATAAATGAAATGAATGTATTTTTTAAAAAAATGCCCATATTAACAGAGCACAAGAAATACAGCACTGAAATAATCCAATCTCAGAAAAAGGAAATTGAACAAGCTATAACTGATCACCCAAAGGACAAAAAAGAAAACCAAGGACCAGACATATTGTCATCTAACAAATTTCTATCAAACATCCTGTCAAACAGTCAAAGGACAATTAATTCCAATATTATATTAACTCTTGAAAAAATTTTTAAAGGGGTCCCCCAAATTTTTTCCTATAAAACAAATATAATTTTGATATCTAAGCTGGTGAAAGCCAAAACAGAAAGAAAAACTGATAAATATTGATGCAAAAATTCAAGGAAAATAGACTACAGTAGTAAGTCACAAAGCTCATATAAAGTGGCCCACAAAACTCTGAAATACCAGTCTAAACCAGATTAAAATGTAATAGGGAATTTCAAAACAAAAATAAATAAAAATACAGTACAACAGTTATTGTTATTCAGTCTTTCAGCTGTGTACAACTATTCATGAGTTGCGGACCATGCTGTGCATGGATTTTCTTGGCAAAGATACTTAAGTAGTTTATCATTTACTTCAGTAGCTCACCTTTTCTCACAATAAGGGAGAGATCCAGGATTTAGGCAAACAGAGGTTAAGTGACTTGTCCAGGGTTATATATCTACTAAGCGTCTGAGATTGGATTTGAATTCAGGTCTTCCTGACTCCAGGCCCAGCACTCTATTCACTGAGCCACTACCTGCCTCACAATACAACATAGATAATGTTAATTTTTGTTTTTCTTACTCAAAATTTGGCCTGCCAAAATCTGTTTCTATTTGAGTCTGACACCACTGAACTAAATGTTCAATAAGAAAATTATCACCATAATATTAATAACAAGAACAATATATCAAAAAAAAAAAAAAGGACAGGGGAAACTTTTTCTTGGGTCACACCAGGCTTGAAATGTGTAGGGATCATTGGCTATACCTATAGTCTTTTGCTTATTGCTAAGGGCCCTAGGCAGCTTGGTTAAATTTGCTTTATATAAATGAAGATTCATTCTGTGACCACTTAATACTGGAAGCAAAAACTGAATTACAGAGAATGTATAAAGCATACCTTTTAGTTAACTTCCCTAAAGTGGTCAAATCCACGCTCATTTGCTATTGGGCTACACAGACAACAATCCATACAAGGAACTCATGTTCCTAAGCTCATTAAAATGGGCAGTAGCACATACCTTTTGACTTGCTCTTTTCACAGTTTGGAGAAATAATAACACATTTTAGTTTTTTGAGTTTCAGATGTTTGAGCACTTCCCTGAGTCCCATCACAAGCCGACGTTTGGTCTTTGCCTTTACTGGATCTTTCTGATACATACGATCTTGAAAGCGTACCAGTTCTTTTAAAAGATCCATCACACAATCATCAACTTCTTTACTAAGCATCTGACTGCAGTAACTAGAAGAAACGATACATGATTTTAAAAATTATACGTTGTCTGGATTATATACATGCAGTTGACTGCTATACACTACAATTCTTCTAAAAATATTTTACACAACACACATATGAATCAGGATCTTCAGGAATTTGTACTTCAATAAGTATTCGTTAGAAATTTAGTTTTCCCACTGATTAAGATCCTCTCCTCCAACTGTCACTTCCTTTCTCTTTCATCACCACCCTCTCAGATCATTTCCTGGTTTAGAGTCCAGACTTAGCCCTGAGTCTTAACCTCAATTCTGGCCAGTTCAACTTTCAGACTCTGAAACTCCTGTATAACCTAAATTGCTGGTTTGCTCCACAGAAGTCAAGTTTATAAAGATGAAGGGAAGACTGAGAAGAAAGAATGATGCAACAGAGGCTTTTTCATGTACTCAGAAGTGTTGAAAATGACTCAAAGCCACTATTATTAGGACTCACATATCATTCTTTATCACCTCCATCCCTATCTGCAAGTCTAGCTAAAGGACATCTTCACCATAAACTATTAAGCATTTGCCGAGAAGAGGCCTCAAAGATGTAAGATCTGTGTTCAAGGCCTGCCTCAGACACATACTGATTTGGTGACCCTGCGGAAGTCACTATATCTTTCACTGCTCTAGCCAACTCTCTAAGACTTTAAGCTGCGGAAAGGTGCTGACCTGAAATGGTAACAGCAGGCTTAATTTACAGGACATTATGACAGGATATAAGTTTTAGTTGACATAAATGGAGACAAGATAGTTAGGCCTTCCCCCAACACATACTATAATAATGTTTGTCAGTACGGCAAATTAGCTAAGTTCTTGTGTCAAAGAGCTAACTTGAATCATGGTGAAGCAGCATTTGTATGACTATGGTTATTTATAATGTCAGAATATTACATAAAGGCCATCATTTACAATGGCAGATAAAATCTGAAAAGATATACTACAGTTAGTTTCATTTCTACATGGACTTACTGTTATGTTAAAGCTTCTTATAGAGATCTTAATATAAATGAAGGGTAGTGTATAGGCTTCCACATACTCACTCTCTAAATCTCCTACTATGGATCTTTGGAAAAGGAGGAACTGGCTGCGTAACAATGTGGCCAACTTCTGCATCCTGCTGGCGTTCACCTAGGGTCTCTTCTGATGTGTTTTCCACTTCAACAGTAGAAGAGTTAGGGACTGATTCTTCTGTTTCTTCTATTTGCTCAAAATCTAAAACAAAAAAGTTTTACGCAATTTAATATTTACAAACAGGAAGGCCACCCCTTCTTCAAAGCCTAACCTCCTTAAATTATGCTTTAACTTTCTGAGCTTCTGATTACTCACTTATGTAAAATGGGAATAACAAAGTACAACCTACCTTACAGGGTTATTGTGATGCTTTGTAAATAAAGCTCTAAACAATTCCAAAAGTCACTACCTAGTAATACTTCCAGATACAGAATTATATCATATTATATTATATTATATTATATTATATTATATTATATATATTATATTATATTATATTATATTATATTATATCATATCATATTATATTATATATTATCTCAGTTGGCTTACTTTTGTTATCTTATATAGCACATATTTCAACTCAAATAGCTGAACAATGTTCTGGAAAAAGTAAGAACAATAATTATTTAGTGATAAAGCTGAAATTTGAATCCTGCCTCTTACATAATTAGCATTTGACTTGAAACAAGTCACTTCATCTTTCTGAGCTTCAGCTTCTTACTTGTGAAATGAGGATTATAAAAGCTGAAATACATCTTCCTCATATGATTTCTTAAGGATCAAGTGAAATTATTTACATAATGCTTTGTAACTCTTACAAGTGTTATTGAGTAATGGACAGAGAGCTAAACTTAAGTCAGAAAGTCCTAGGTTCAAGTTTTGCCTGTGATAGAAACTAGCCATTGTGATTATAGACAGATTATATAACCTCTCAGTACTTTCAGACAATTCTCTAAGACTCTAAATCATAGACAAGGTGCCAATCTGGATCACTGGATACAGTATCTGCATCAGTGAGGTCACAAGTCTGCACCCTTCTCCCTTCCAACGAACCTCCCATCCCCCCCCAAAAAAAGACCGTTTTCAATAACAATAACAATAAAAAATAGTTATCAGGTATTGGAAGCAATGCACATTCCTCACAAGGGAGATTTATTGCTTAAGATTTAATTTCTAAACTCTAAACTGGCTTTACGGTCAAAATTCATTCTAAATTTTGTCTTGTCTAGCGTCTGCGTGGAAGCATGATTTATGGATAGGGAATTGGTCTTAGAGCCAGGAAGATGTGGGTTCGAGTCTCACCTCTGATACATACTGCCTGCGTGACCCTGGTCAAATCACTAAACCCATGCATAAGCTGCCTTAGGCAGCTCCTTAAGGCTATGCATTATAGAGAAGATGTTAATCTGCCCTGGCAGAGAGAATTTTCTCATCTAAAATCAAGAAGACATGAGTTTGAATCATGTTCTAGATACCTACTTGTTGTGTGACAAATTCTCCAAGTCTTAGTATCTTCAACTATAAAACAGGGTTGTGAAGACCAAATAAGACAGGCATTTGAAACCCTTAAAATGCTATATAATGTTATCTATCATCATTACCATCATCATCGTCATAGTTGTTTATTCTATAATATTCAAATTATAATTTGTCATAAAATAACAATCAAATAATAATAACACCAATGAAATAACAAGTCTAGTCTCTATCGCAATTAGATGCTTAAGAGACAAGAGAAAATACTACATATCAATTATATTTAATGGAGTCAAACAACAAACATTTATTGAGTTCCTACAACATGCCAAATACTATGACAGACTCTATGGATACAAAGACCAAAAAAGGAAACAATCCATGACGTTAAGGAACTTATATTCAATTGCTGGAAGCAAAGTGTGTGCGTGCGCGTGAGTGACTGTGTGTACAGACACATATGTGTAGAATATAAAATAAATACAAGTTAATTAGGGAAGAAGGGTACTAGCTTTTAGCACAGTGCCTGGTATATAGGTGTTTAATAAATGCTTGACTCGATTTGTTTAACAGTTAGGGGGATCAGGACAGGCTTTGAAGAGAAGGTGGACCTGGACCAATCTTAAAGGAAGAGAGGAGTTACACGTAGTGCAATCAAGGCATGGGGAATGGTCAGGGCACAGACAGGAAACGAAGTGCCATGTGAGGAATGCAGAGATGATCAGTGGACTGCCCGTAAAGTGTGGGAGAAGTATAATAATACTAAGCTGGGAGAAACTTTAAAAGTCAAATATGGGTTTTTATTTGATATGAGAGGCAAAAGAGAACCAGTGGAGTTTACTGAATAGGAAAATAACAATCAAATTTATGCATAAAGAAGTTCACTTTGGTAGCTGTGATGAACTGGAGTAGGGAGAAATCTGATGCTGAGAGATCAGTTAATTGTCCAGGTGAGAGGTGATAAGGGCCTAAACTAAGGTGGTGGCTGTCTGAATGAAGAGGAGTCCTAAGTCAAGCACTAATAAAGCCCTCTCATAGGATACTCAAACATATACAGGAACACATCCGCATTTGAAGATTATCAATTGCTAAACTGAATACATTAAAATAATCAGTTTTCATAAGTAATACAGGACGGGCAGTTAGGTGGTGCAGTGGAGAGAGCACCGGCCCTGGAGTCAGGAGGACCTGAGTTCAATTTTGGCCTCAGACCAAACACTTGACACTTACTAGCTGTGTGACCCTGGGCAAGTCACTTGAATCCCAACTGCCTAAAACAAACAAATAAACAAACAAAAAAACATAAGTAATTACAGGATCCAGAATATTTGGGTCTAAAAAAAATGATACTGTCTTGAACTGAAGGAAGTTCAAATTATACTTCTAATTCTTTTTACGGCACTCATATTTTGGAATAATGGATACATTTTAACCACTTCCCAGGGTTGTTGTGAGGATAAAATTAGTAAAACTCTTAGCACAGTGTCTGGCACATAAGAGCGACATAAATGTTAATTATTATTATTTGTCCATAATAATGCCAAGCACAGGCCACATCATATCTACCATTACTGTTACTGGTATTTATTTTCAAGATTTAAGAAGCAACCCCAACAAAGAGAAATCAGTACCTGGCTGGGCAACCTGGTCAGCTGACTTATTATTAACATTATTCGCCAAATCTTGCTGAATCTTCTCAGCAAAGGCTGGAACGGAAAGCTGTTCTAAGAGATGTTTCTGTTTTCTCTCTTCTCGCTCTTTCAAAATAATCTTTAAAATAAAATTCAACAATAGCTGTTGATATATGTACATGGAATAGTTTCTCAAAAAGACTAGCTCCCATGGTGAAAAAAAGCTGCCCAGGTAATAATGCTGCCAATACACAAAGAAACAAATTAGATGCTTTTGCTTTTCAATTACACAATTCACAACCATACTGCACCTATTAGCTATCACACATATATCCATTTTTCATGCCTACTGATGCTTTCTTGTAGTCCTTCAGCATCACACTGTACTTACACAGCTACATGACACAATGGATAGAGTGCTGGTCCTAAGGCCAGAAAGGTTTGAATCCAAATTTGGCCCCAGACATTCTCTAGTTGTGTGACCCTTGGCAAGTCACTGATCTCTGACTCAGTTTCCTCATTTGCAAAATGGGGATAATAATAACAACTTCTCATGGTTGTTGTAAGCATAAGATAAAAAAAATCTGTAAAGCATTTTGGAAGACTTAAAGATTTACAAAAATAGTAATTGTTATTACTGGAATAGATGAAAATGAGCCAGCTCTCAATTAATGAGTAATGTAAGAGAGCAGTAAAGATAGTGGATGTAAAACAAAACAAATAAAAAACAATATGCTGTCACAAACCTACTTACCTAATTTGACAAAAAGCTGCTAGTGTTTTCTTCTATTTTCTATGCCACCCTCAAAGAAAAGTGTATTTAAAGTACAATCACTGGCAAGTTGTTGTTTGTCCTTCATTCTCAAAAAGGACCATGACATCAGGAAAGTGATGCCATGACTTGCAAGTGAATTGCATTTAAGTGAGGGAAGTCTGTGCAAAGCCACCAGCCTGACTTTCTCCCCTGGAGTCATCTGGGTCCAGTGGCAAGATATAGATCAGGATATTTCAGTTAAAAATAGTCTTAAGAATTTTCCCCTACAGTAGGTGAAATAATTTCCCCATAACATATAATTTGTATATTGAGGAAGTATTCTGAACTCACATGATACATTCTTTTGGACTGCCAATCAATATATTTGAATTACTAAAAACCGATGTTCTTAAAACTGAATCCCTACCAAATAAGAAGGGTAAACAAGAATTAAATAGTAAAGACATTTAAACAGATTGGTTGGAAGACCTCTCACCAATTTTTAATGTTTGCATCAAGTAAAATGCATAATATACCTTCTTCAGGGATGTTGGCTTTTTGACCTTTGGGACTTCCCTTTGCTTGCCCTTCTTTATTAATGGAGAACTGGAATCCAATGGATTATGAGGAGACATCACTTGATTTAACCGGTGATTTTTCACTGATGTTGCTAATTCTTTGGAAAGTACTGGGACTGCACCAACTGAAAGGAAATTTACACGAAACAGTAACAGACATTATTTCAATGTAATTGCCAGAGACCATAAGACTTTTAAAAAGTTCTGGTATTCGTTCAAACAGTTCAAAACATTGGTTTTTTTAAACATATATTTTTTCTTTATTGTGAAACACACTGGTTACATTAGGTGTAAGTATACTTTGATGATTAGTCCATTTTTCCAGCTCTAAACTATAAGAGCCCATAAATTTTCTTCAAAAAGAATTTTAAATTAAATCTATCCTTCTTACTACTCAACTTCAGTGAGCAAATTAAAAACAAAACAAAATAAAAACTTGAAAAATAAAGCCCTCAATATATACCATGATAGTCCAGAAAGGAAAAAAAAATCCTCATCTTCCACCTGTGAAAATGTACATCTCTTTCTTCATTATAAACATATTACTTCTCTAACAGGAGGTGAATGGCTTATTTCATCTTCATTCTTTTGGACTACTTGTTTATCACAGTCTTCCTCATGTTAAACCAATCCTGTACTCTTGGTATAACTCTAATCTGTTCATACTATGTAATCTTTCAAATATGTTGTTGTAGCCTCTTTGCAAATATTTTATTTAAATATTTTGCAGCTATGTTCATTAAGATATTGATCTATTATTTTCTTTCTTTGAGTTCTTTCTCCCTGCTTTAAGTATTGAGACCATATTTGTTTGTTTGTTTTGTGAGACAACTGGGGTTAAGTGATTTGCCCAGGGTCACACAGCTAGTAAGGGTCAAGTGTCTGAGGCTGGATTTCAATTCAGGTCTTCCTGATTCCCGGGCTGGTGTTCTATGCACTGTGCCACCTAGCTGCCCCCCTTGAGATCATATTTGTAATACATTTGGAAAAGAGTCTTCTAGTCTTTTTGCAAATAGTTTTTCTAATATTGTAATTAATTGTTCTTTGCTTGATGGAATTAATTTGTAGATCCATCTTGGGTCTGTGATTTTTCTTTATGGCTTATTCAATTTCTGTTTGTGAAACTGGATTATTTAATAGTCTATTTCATCTTTTGTTAATCTGAGTATTTCATATTTTTAAGTATTTATCTTCCCTTAGTTATCAATTTTGTTAGCACTTAATTGGGGAAAAGTTTCTGATAATTTCCTGTTTATTTTTTTAACTGAGGAAAAGATGTTTGATTTGTTGTTCAAATGCTTTATTCTTTCTCTAAGCCCTTTGCAATTTGGCTTCTGACCTCATCATTCAACTGAAACAGCTTTCTTCTCTCCAAAATTACCAATGATCTCTTACTCGTAGAATCTAATGGTCTTTTCCCAGTCTTCTTCCTTCTTAACTTCTGAGACCAACTTTTGATCATAATCATCCTCTTCTCATGGATGCTCTTTCGTCTCTAGATTTTCATGACATGGCTCTTTCCTGGTTCTCCTCCCCTGTCTAATAGCTCTTTCTCAGACCTCCAGTCTACCTTCAACTGCCTTTCTGACATCTGGAACTCTATAGGCATCTCAAATTCAACATGTCCCACATGGAATTCATTATGTTTCTCCTAAAAATTCTTCTCTCTCTCAAAATTCCCTTTTATCTCGTAAGATGGGACTTGTATAATTGTTGTATTTCCAGCTTCACCATTTATGAACTTGATCAAGTTAAGTGACTTAACTACTCTAAGCTTCAATTTATTGATCTCTACTTAGGATATATAACCTACAGATAGAATCAGCAGGAAGATTAAGTGAGACTATCTGTGTGAAATCCACCATATAATGAGGTTTCCATTGCTTTTAATTCCTATACATAATAAAATCAGGTTCTTTATGATTCTGTGAAAACCTATTATTCAAAAAACCTTTATTATGAGCAAAACTAATTACCCACAGAATGTAACATTAAATTGTTTTCAACCTCATCTTTCTGAAGCAAGCAGATAATGAAGAGAAAGGAAGATAACTGACTTATCTTACCAGAAACTACAATAGGTTTGGAAGACTGTTTTGAATTCTGTGAATGCTGCTTTTTTTCCAATGCAGCCAGCATTCCTCCCAAATCCAACTTCACTGGAATTTGACTCTTCTTCCCAAACTTTTTTGTAGTAGTCTAAAAATAAAGTTAAAATGGGATGTTTTCTTTATGCACACATATACAGAGCCTACATAAAAACAGGATTGGTTTAACATGAAGAAGACTGTGATAAACAAGTAGTCCAAAATATATACATATATACATATGTATGTACACATATTTATCAAGTAAAATAGATTCAGATATCTCTCAACTGAAAATTTTAACAATAATCTTGATGTTAAAACATTTTATATTTAGGGCCACTCATGCCACCTACTAACCAAAACTTGTAACCCTTATTTATAATCATAGAATGACTGAATGTTAAGAGCTACAAATTTCAACCCACTATTTCTGCAGATGAGGAAACTAAGGTACAGAGATGTTAAAATGACTACAAGAAAATAACATAGCAAGTCTGTGGCAGTTAGGACATTCAGTTCTCTGCCTGTTTCCTGAGCTCCAATTTCAATTCATCAACTGCCTATTAAATATTCCAAAATGGCTATTCTAATTTCAAACTCAATGAATCTAAAAAATAACTGATTTGCTTTTCCCTATAACCCACCTCTCAACTAAACTTCTTTTTCCATTGAGGGCACCACCATCCTTTTAGTTTTTTAGGTTCCCAACAATGTCACTATCCCTGGACTCTTCACTCTCCCTAAATATCCCTTCACCCTATATATCCAATCAGCTGCCAAATTTTGTCCTTTCTACATCTGTAACACTTCTTTTATCTAACACCGTCTCCTGGCTCATACAGCCTTAGTTCAGGCCCTCATTACCTGTTTACTAAATGATTAAAACAGCCTCCTAACTGATACCTGGCCTAAAGCCTCTCCATATTCTGATGATAAACAGGACTTTTCTCACATAGTACTTCACCTCCTATCTTCATGTCTTTGGACTGGTCATCCTCCATGCCAGGAAAGCACCTCCTCATTACCCCCTAGTCGAATCTCACCCCTCTTTTAAGTTCCAGCTGAAGTCCCACCTTTTCCACTAAACCATTCCTGATTTCTCCCTTCCCCAACTATTTGGGATTCCCCTCCAATTATTTTATTTTCATTCCCTATGTATGTATATACATGCTGTCTTCTCCAATAGAATGTAAGCTCCTGAAAGAGAAGAGAGTGCTTTGTTTTTCTGTCTTTGTATCCCCAGCACCTAGCATACTCGACTGCCTGGCAGATAATAAATGTGGGCTGACTGAATGATATGATCACAAAACGACAGCTAAAAGGTTTTATTTGCAAGAAAGTCCATCAAAATGCAAAGTTGTCTGGAATGCCATACTATAAATGACAAATGTAAGGAATTCTACCCCAATAAGCAGACTAATACTGAAATGCAGTAAAGATATACGTAAACATAAATAAATCCACACAATTAAAATATAAACTCAAATTTAAAAAAATTCACTGGAAAACTCAACTTCATTCCAGAAAACTAATTAACCTATTGAAGAGATTTTGTTGCTGTTAAGCTCACCTCTGGTTGCTGTTTAGAGTGAAATTTTGACGACTGTGGTCCATTTCTTCTGTCAGAAGTCAGTGTATGGTTAACAAGTTCTTCAGAATTCTGCGCAAAACCAAATCATTCTTTAGTTTAGCAAATTTTATTTTGCTTTAGTGGTTTTGTAAGCTATTGAAGCTTACCTTAAAACTGCGATAGCTTTTGAAATGTGATGTATAATATATATTTTATCAATGCCTTTAATGATTCTATTACGGTCATGGGCAAGGGAAGGAAGACTAGAGGACCCATTCCACTTCCACCTCTCAGCTGACCCCCTCTCTTTTGACAGAAAAGATTAAGCAAAAATACCTAAGCCAGTGACTGCATCTGACAAAATGAACACATCCCACCCTCTATGCAATGAAGAGGGAGGTATATTTCATCAGTTCTCCAAGATCACCACTGGTTTTTCCAAAAACTCAGTTTGGTTTCATTTTGATGATTCTTTCATTTACAATATACAACATGCTTTTAAATTAAAGTTTCCTAGAAAACTTTCTCTTCCCAGTTGTGGTCAGCTGACTGACGGGACATTACAAAATAGACAAAATGCTTTAATTAGAAAAATAAAATAAAACCTGAGAAGAGAATTTGATTTTCCAACCCATTTTTCCTATCATTATGAAATGAAAAAACAAAAAAAGTTTTAGGAGACAAAGTACAAGAGTAAAGTTTCTAAGCCATTCTACTGAAGTGTTTACTTAAACCACAAATGGCATACCAGCAGGAATTATATTTTACCTCTTTTAAAAGTTACCTCTGGTTGGTGTTTAGATAAACATTTTGATGGCTCCAGTTTGTTTTTTCTTTCAGAAGCAACTGCCAGATTAGGAAACTCTTCAATATCCTAAATAAACCACAAATATTCTCTAAGAATTGAAAGAAATAATTCAGTAAAACCTCATATGCTTACTATTATCTACAAGACTTCATATAAAACACATTTTACAAAAGCTGTAGAGGAAAATATTTTCGTAACAGAACTGGGAAATTATTTCTTACTGAAGGCACCCTTAAAGAATTTTTAGTATTCACAAACCTGTTCTACTTCATGGTAACCACTGTTCTAGGATAAGATTAACTCAGGTCTATGGATTCAGGATTGGAGTGAGAATTATGAGGAAATTAAAGACTAAAATGCAATAAAAACAACTCTATTAGTGACGAAGGAAAAGCAGAATATAATTCCTAAACTTAAAAACATACTAGTTCAGATAAAAGGGGCACAACACTTCAGCTCCATATGCACCATGGCAACAACAAGCAAGCTAGGTGAGAAAGGCATTCCTATAAGGTCAGTAAGAATTAAGCTAAATCCTCTCACATCAATTCTCCATAGTCTGGGCCTCTTAAGCCTCAGGAAGCAAAGACATTAAATAACCTCCACTGTCCTTAAAAACACCAGCTTAATCTACATAAACAAGTACTCCAACTATCACAAGGTACAGTAAAGCAAAGTCTTTTCCCAAATCCACTTAGAGATGACCTATGACAAGAACTTTATGCCAAATTCTCTCTATAGTGAGGTCCTATAGTCGACTTTCTATTTTAAGCAACCTGGAAAATCTGAATAAGTATCTTCCGGTATCTGAATAGGTAGCAAAATACTGTATTTTGTATGGATAATCAAAGAAATAGTGCTAACATTAAGTAGTTCTGTCAAAAGAAAAAATTTTACACATCATTTGATTTACTTTAAAACTAGAAAATTAAAGAAAAACACCAACTTAAATTAAAAAATAAATATAAGCCTAGGTTTCTATGAACACAAATATATTTAACACACTATACAAATTTAATAATAAAAACAAATATACTTCAATTCTTGGTGGCTCCTGGACCACAAGCGTTCCATAATTTGCTTTAGGCTTCTTTTTCTTTTTCTTGTTCTTTCTCATTTCTTCCTGGTCAATTTCACACATATTGTTGGTTTTTGTCTATGAAAAACAAAGTAAGTGGAAAAAAATACTGCTTTTTAGAAAACTCAGCAGAAGATGACAATGGATGAAATCTCTCTCATTACAGCATACTGAAACAGAGTAAACTCAGTTGGATTATAAAATATTAAGTAATGTTAAGGGGTCCCCTGAACTTGTCTTTTCGAGTTGCTATATTTTCCAGAAACAATGGACCCAGAGTATGCAAGAGGCCCTGAACATGCCACGGATGAAGGCCCTCCCTGAGCTGACATAATTTGTTGTTTGCACCTCCCTGTGTGTCCTTGGGAGTCAAGACAGGCACCAGTCAGTCTGCCCTAGAGTGAGAAACTGTTTGTACAGCTGGACCGCTTGTAGATAAGTAGACCATTATATCTTCATAATCTAGAATTTCGCAAGAGAAAAGAACGTTTAATCTTCCCTTTTGTTTTGGAGTAGGGGGTGGGGGCCAAGCAATGGGGTTAAGTGACTTGCCCAGGGTCACACAGCTATTGACTATCAAGTGTCTGAGGCCACATTTGAACTCAGGTCCTCATGACTCCAAGGCCGGTGCTCTATCTACTGTGTCACCTAGCTGCCCCATCTTTTTCTTTTCCTTTTTTTTTTTTAAAGAATGTTTAATCTTAATTATTCATAATTTCTCCTCCTCCTCTATCACTCTTATTTAGCTAGAGATTTTTGTTTCTCCTCCTCTATTGCAATTTCATAAACATGCAAGCTTCTGTTTGGATTGTGAACTCTTTGCATTTGCTTAGGGCTCCACACGCACATTCATTTCTCTTATAATAAACCTAATTTTTCATGTAAGTTTCATGAAGTTGTGGTTGCCTGTTGACAAAAGTCATTTAAAAGGTCTTCATTTGTTTTTAGTTCACAAATAGAAAAATATGATTTATGCCATAAGCAAAATCATTTTGGAAACTGCTATATATGGATACTGTTAATATTCTGGATTTGAGAGGTCTCCTATCTGTACATAGTACATGGTTAAAGTACTATACATTAGATTGTGTACTAAATGAGTATTAATCAATGAGAATGACACAATAATGAACCAGTAGGCTCTCATAAAAGTAGGGCCTTTCTTCCTTGCACTTTAGGTAAATCCACATTTCACAGTTACATTTAATTAAACATATTCTCAGATTTTAAACGGACATTAAAACATTTCAAGTATAACTTGCTTTTACCTAACAAATCTGTCACTGAAAACTTTATGTAAATCAAATTGCATATTTTTTAAAAATGAAATTTATTTTTAGTTTTCAACATTCACTTCCATAAGATTTTGAGTTTTAAATTTTCTCCCCCTCCCACTTATTTCCCCCCCCCATGGAGACAGCATACAATCCGATATAGGCTCTACATATACATTCATGTTAAACACATTTTCCCATTATTCAAGATGTAAAGAACAATTAGAACTAATCAGACAAACCACAAGAATGAAGCAATAAACAAAATAGCAAAGGAAAAGGAGAGCAAACAGTATGCTTCCATCTGCATTCAGACTCCATATTTCTTTCTCTGGGTGAGGATAGCAATTTCCATCATGAATCTCTTATAGTCGTGTCTTAGATTTTTGTTTTGCTTTGAAAAGCCAAGTCTATCAGTCAATCATCACACAACATGGCTGTTACTGTGTACTAGTTCTGCTCATTTCACTCAGCATCAGTTTACACAAGTCTTTCCAGGTTTTTCTGAAGTCAGCCTGATCATCATTTCTTATAGCACAATAGTATTCCATTACATTCATATACCACAACCTGTTCAGCCATTACCCAATAGATGGGCACCCTCTCAATTTCTAATTCTTTGCCACCATAAAAAGAGCTACTATACATATTTTTTGTACATGTGGGTCCTTTTCCCATTTATATGATCTCTTTGGGATACAGACCTAGATGTGGTATTGCTGAGTCAAAGGGTATGCACAATTTTATAGCTCTTTGGGCATAGCCCCAAAATGCTCTCCAAAATGGTTGGATCAGTTCACAACTCCACCAACAACGTATATGTGTTCCAATTTTCCCACATCTTCTCCAACATTTATCATTTTCCTGTTTGTCATGTTAGCCAATCTGGTAGGTATGAGATAGTAACTCAGAGTTGTTTTGATTTGCATTTCTCCAGTCAATAGTGATTTAGAACATTTTTTCAAATGACAACAGATAGCTTTAGTTTCACCCTCTGAGAACTGCCTGTTCATATCCTTTGACCATTTACCAACTAGGGAAATCAAACTGCATATTAAATACTGTAAATGTCAATTCTGGAGCATGTATTAGTTTCTGAAAACTACTACACTGTTGTTGGGAGCTATAAATTATTTAGTCTAATTGTTCTGGAAAACAATTTGGAATTATACAAGAAAAGTATTCATACCTTTTGATCCAAGGACCTCATTTACTGGGTAACAAGGTCAAAGACAAAAAATCTTGAAAATAATCATAGCAGCAATTTTTGCAGTACCAAAAAATTGAAGCAGCAAAAACCAACTGGGTGATGAATGAGCAGACTGTGCTATGTAAAGGAAATGGATTAGCATTCCATAAAAAAAAATGTGTATAAGGATGATATAAATGATATAAAATGAAGTAAAATATAAATAATGTATACTATGGTCAAAAAATATAAGTAAAAAGTACACAAAAAGGCATTTGAATTCAAATGAAATGCAATGACAAATCTTAGATGCAGAGGGCAGATGATGAAACCACTTTCCCTCCCCGAGGTTCCATACTAGGCCCTATTCTTTCCTCCTTCTATACTTTCCCTCTTGGTTAACCTTATCAAGCTCCTATGAGTTTAATTATTATCAATATGTCTGACTATTTTTCTTTTTTAATAGGGTGAATTATGTTGGAGTTAGGGGCATAAAATCAATTAACAAGCATTTATTAAGCACCTAACATATGACAAGTACTATTTTTATATGTATGAAGAAAGAATAAAATAATTGCCCTTTGAAAGGAACTTACATTCTAATGGGGGAGGCAAGTACATACATAAACATACATAATAAAAATATAAAGTAAATAATTAAAAAATAGTTAGATACAAGAAAATTTTAGGAAGGTCACTGGAAGTTGAGGGTATCAGGAAAAGTTTTATGCAGAACAAAGTTCTTGAGCTGTGTCTGAAAGAAGGGGAGGAAATCTATGAAGCAGAGGTAAGGAACAGGAAGGAGTACCTTCACTGCATATAGAACTGCCAGTCCAAAAATAAGATTGTTTTCATTTGTCCTTCATTCTCAAAGAGGACAATGACATCAGGAAGGTAATGCCATGACTTACAAGTGAATTAGATTGAAGTGATAAGGACTGCACAAAGTCACCAGCCTCACTTTCTTTGTCAGAGTCATCTGTGTCCAGTAGCAAGATATAGATCAAGAGGACTGGAGATGGACCCCCACAAAAGTGAGAAGGGAAATGGAGTGTTGTATGTGAGAAACAAAGAAAACAAGATCTGGTCTGCAATGCAGACAACCCTGGAAAGTAGGGGCTATTACTATGCTCATTTTACAGATAAGGAAATTGAAGCAAAGGGAGGTTAAGTGACTTGCCCATGGTCATACAGCTGGTAAGTATCTCAGGTTGCATTTGAACTCATGTCATCCTAACGTGAGGCCCAGCGTTTTATGCACTGTGCCACATAGCAGCTTGAAGAGTAAATGCATCTTCCTTACTTTTTTTTTTTTTAACAAAGGCAGAGATCCATGGGTGCATTTCAGATACAATCAGTTTTGGTAGATGTAGTTAGTTTTGACAGGCTACTTTTTTCCATTTTAAGAAATTGTTTATTTTGTGTTATAGGCATAGTCCACCGATAGGAGGGAGGGATAAATTCAGAAATTAAAGCCATACCAAACTAAAAAAAATATATATTATATATATTTTTACTACCTCCTCTCTATACTATCTTCTTCCTGCCCCCAACTGTATACACAGAACTCGTGAACCAATGTGTCTGATGTGGATCTGGGCAAAATTCCAGCATATATCATAAAAGCGATGGTTAATAAACATTTAAAAAAGAAAGCAGTGATCTTTCTGATTTAGAACAGGTCAAGCTAGACTAATGGCATATTTTTTTTGACATGGTTACTCGTTGGTAAGAGAAGTACTGTTAATATGAATTGATGTTATCTCTGCTTATCAGCTTGCCTGATGTTAATACTAAGGACATCACTGAGTATTCATTAACATAAAGGTTAAAATTAATTATCTGAATTTTTATAACCAGTGTCTCTGATAAGAGCCTCATTTCTAAAATATACAGAGAACTGAGTCAAATTTATAAGAATACAAGTCATTCCCCAATTGATAAATGGTCAAAGGATATGAACAGGCAGTTTTCAGATGAAGAAATTAAAGCTATCTATAGTCATCTATAGTCATATGAAAAAATGCTCTATTGACTAGAGAAATGCAAATCAAAACAACTCTGACGTACATCACACCTATCAGATTGGCTAACAAGACAAAACAGGAAAATGATAAATGTTGGAGAAGACATGGGAAAATTGGAACACTAATGCATTGTTGGTGGAGTTGTGAACTGATCCAACCATTCTGGAGAGCAATTTGGAACTATGCCCAAAGGGCTATAAAAATGTGCACACCCTTTGAACCAGCAATAGCATTCTAGGGCTGTATCATAAAAACAGGAAAAAGACCCACATGTACAAAAATATTTATAGCAGCTCTTTCTGTGGTGGCCAAGAATTGGGAATTGAGGGGATGCCCATCAACTGGGGAATGGCTGAACAAGTTGTGGTACATGAATGTAATGGAATACTACTGTGCTATAAGAAATGATGAGCAAGCCAACTTCAGAAAAACCTGGAAAGACCTGTATGGTCTGATGCTGAGTGAAGTCAGCAGAACCAGGAGAACGTTGTACATAGTAACAGCCATGTTGTATGATGAGTAACTTTGACAGACTTAGCTCTTCTCAGCAATGCAAGGATCTAAGACATCTCCAAAAGTTTCATGATG